ATTCGCGGTGGAAAATATAGCTTACATCATCAATTGCCATATAAGCATCTAAGTCGGCGTCCAGATCGTCGTAGGTAACAGGCTTTCGATTAGAGGATTTCCGTCGATTGTCGGAAACATTACCGTCACGTCCCCGAGACGCTGACCCACCATTATTGGTTGAGCTTCGGCCGAGTCTTGAGCGGATATTGCCGCGGGATAATTGCTTACTGTGAGATAGATGCAGTATTTCCAAAAAGTTATGAAATTGAAGATATGCGTAGAGAATAAAGAAAATAGTATGATCGAACAATAAGAAGACCGAGAAGAGGCCGAAGTATATGTAACGACCACCCAAAGATGAAAACGATGAGGCTCAAGATAAAGAGTGGAAAAACTCGGTCAATCAATATCAATATATTGCAAATGTTTCTTGAAATATTCTTGCGGTTAGAAAGTTCTAAATTCGCTGGTTCTCGGCCTGGTCTTTAAGTTATAAAGGTTGTTAAACACACATACACTAATCCACCACGTACGCCACCTAGGCGATCCAGAATAGAAGCACCTTCTGCACCAGACGATGAACCCTTTTGAGTTTGTTTGGTTGGTGCAAGTTTGATCCTCATTTGTTGTCCTTTAAATTTATTTTTTTTAAAAAAAAAAAACTAATGAATATTAATTGAACTCTTTAAATGAAAAATCATGATATTCTACGCTACCTCCAAGAACTTTCCCATTGTGCCTTCTCAGAGCCGTTTCGGCATCAGCAGGATCTTCAAAGGTGACATCCGCAACACCAGTGCTTCGTCCAGCGCGATCGTAATGCAGATAGACTTTTTTCACGGGGCCACACTCGGAAAACAGATTCTGTTCGATTTATATGGGATGAGTGACCAAGTACGGAAACGTTGTTGCCCAAAATAATGCACAGAAAATTTTTTTCACAGACCTGAAGTTCATCTTGAGTGACTTCATAGAACAAATTTTCGACCACGAGTTTTGAGTTACTGTTGGATACATTTGAGGAGTTTCGTTGGATGCTTGCAACATTATTCCGTTGACCGTTATTAGGACGTGCATCTTCATATAGATCATGGGACCATTGTCCTTCGACATTGCCTCTTGAACGCTAATATTGTAGATCAATAAATTCTTCAGTACCCACACAAATTCCGGCTTGTTACCCCTTTTACAAGCTCACAGCGTCCGTCAACATGGGAGAAACTAAAAGTATTTGTTCTAGGTAAGATGAAGTAAAGAAGAAAGAATAAGGAAAGATTAAACGTTACCTGTCGTTCGTAAGGAGCATTCCTAGAACGAACATTCTTAGCGGTCGTCGGAACGCGTCCTCTCCGAGGTTGCCTAGGATTTCTTTTTTTACCCTTCTTACTTGTGTTAGCATATTCGTCGAGAGCCATGTCTAAGGTTCCACTCATTGTAACGAGAAAAAAATAAGGCGATCTGAAAGTCTGTTGCTATCCCAAAAAGGTTGCAATTTATCGAAGTTTCAATTATTCAAAATATAGTACGTATTCGCATGTACTATATAGATCACGTGGTAATAAGGATCAACCCATATTTAACAATAATCTGTACTCGTTGTTTCTTTGTTTCATACACAATACACATAAAAGAGTGAAAGTGAAAGTGATTGATTGCAAATACTCGCTTTTACCCAACTTCTGCATGATTCTTGGTGTTTCTCAAGTTAAATTTAATTACTACAACTACATAAAATTTTCGAAAAACATTTCCATTTAAGTTTCATCATGTCCGCAGGCTTAGACATGTCACTTGATGAAATTATTGCGAAGAGGAAACCAAGAGGAACTACTAGGACTGGAGGTCCAACACGCACCGGTGGAATTTCAAAACGTTCAGGCGGTCCTGTAAGAAATCCACGATCACCGCAGAACAGAACTAGACCATACACTGGAACTTCTTCAACGACGCCAAACATTGCAGCTTCACCTGAAGGAAAAATTCTCGTTTCAAATCTCGCCTACAAAGTGTCAGAGGCGGATCTTTGGGTAACTATTTATATTTGCCAAAATTTCATGCAGACAGAAATGCCTGAAAAAAAGAGAGGCGATCAGTTTCTTTCTTTGGTGCCAAAGCTGGGGTTTACCGTCTACATATAAACCTGAAGCGAAAAGGCGACCTTTGTACGAAAATTTTATTTTATCGTCAACGTCCCTTCTTCGTCTTGCGGCTTTGGAACCCGGAGAATCAGAAACCTTTTCTTACAACACTCTACAAACCGATCTGCCTTGTTGCTCCTATGAAAACAATCCACCTGATCGCAAAACAAACTCCCTCCCTCCATACACGCACTTCGACACCCTTACCTCTTTTCAACACCAGGAACTCTTCCAAACGATGATCGGCCCTGTACGTCAAGTGAATCTCAATTTTGACCAAAGTGGACGTTCGAAGGGAACCGCATCCGTAGTCTTCGCCAGGAAAAATGACGCCGTTCGATCTGTTGAAAAGCTCCGGAATATCACACTTGATGGTTAGTAATCACTTT